GGTCTTCACAACTCATTAATGGACACTTACATCTCGCAGGAAAGCAAAAAAATCAAGTACAGTAAAAATAAATCATTCTAGTTTCTCCAAGGCCTGCAATATAAATGTTTCCATCACTTCAATTTGCAAGCTATGCAAAATAGCATGCAGACCATCATTTCAAGGATTTCACAGTTTTAATAACATTGCCTTAGAATCACTGAAACATAGAAAAAACTGCACATCACTGAGTCTGAAATCTGGGTGGCCTTAGTTTCCTTCCTTTCTCTAGATCTAGAAATCTGAGAGCTACTGAAGTAGCTTTTGCACTACTCAGCTGTAGCAATGCTGAAATCTTAGCAGAAGAGTTACCAGTGCAGCAGGTTGTCCTGGTGTGGAAACTGGTGGAATTGCTGGCCTTGGATAGGAAGTCACTGTTGCTTGTGAAGGAGAAGGCACTGCAGCAGGAGCTGGGGAAACCACAGGTTTCAATTCACTGGGTTTACCTTTCTGCATCTCTTGCAGAAGTTTGAGAGCATCCCTGGTGATTAAACACAGTGAAATACTGACTGCAAAGAAGCTATTTAACAATTACCTAAGTATTACTATTCCATCACTTATTCTATTTCATTAGCCACTTCTGTACATTTAAATTTCTGTTGTCAAACCAAACATTAAGAAGGTGATTATTATTAAATTATATTAATCTTGTGTTGCCTTTGTGGTATCTTTTTAGTAACTTCTCATTAACTTCCATGAATAAAAGGGCCTGAGTATGCAGTAACAGAAAACAGTTGTGTTAGAGAAGCATAACAATCATCACTAACTGTAAGCATGCAAAGTGATTTTTGAATTGCACTAACAATTCTTCTAAATGAAAAAGTACATATATTCAGGCTATAAAGTCTAAAGTAAAAGCTGTTTCATCTGTTATATTTGTAATAACCTGAATTGAATGTAATTACTTAGTGCTAAGTGAAAATTGATAAATACATTTATCATTCTGCACCTTTCTGACATAAATCTGCAGAGCCAGGCACAGATGTTATACGGGCCCATACTTCCTAACGCCACACTGGAGAAACAAAGCCAAAGTGTTCTCCAAGGATTTTCTACTGATACAGCTACCACCACAAAATTTTCCTGTTGTGGGCACAATATGACAGAGAGGAGAGGCTCCATCTCTAAGCCATGACACTGTGTCTGCTCCAGGTGCATTTAATTCATAAAGCAACAAGGTAAAGACCAGCACCTAGGAGGCTGAACAGAAATAACTGCATTTCCACCACCACTGCCAACTGCAAGGCAAGTCAGTTGTAGATCTCCTCTCTTTATCCTCCAGATCTGCTAACAAAAGCCTATATAATATACCCTAGATAAATCGCTATCACTTCACCAAGAACACAAAAGTTCAATTTCACAAATTGGCAGAGGAAATTAAAATAAATTAAAAATCAGACTCATTAAACACTTCCAAGGTTTTGAAACACAAACCATAAATGCTAAACAAAGCTATCTAATTTCAGTAGATTACTGCTTAAGAGACTATTCTTGAGTGATAGCCAAGAGTTTATAAAATCTTTATAGAAAGAACAAAATCTCATAACATTATGCATTCTTAGTTCTTCCTAAAATGGAGAACTCCAGAAACAATAATTAAAAATTGAAAACCTCTACATAATGCCTCTTCTCATTGCTGATTTGCTTCAATTTATTCTTACCTTCAATACATACTTCAACAAACAATTTTGAAAACAAAAAACAAATGAGCTCAAAAGAAAAGTTTTTTCAATTAAAAACTGTTACTTGTTTCCCCAAATTAACATGCTGGCCAAGATTTGGTTTAAAATTAAATGTTATTTGACACAACTACTGTATCAGGGGTAAAAATTAATTTTCATAGAATGAATATCATTCCCTACCATTACAATTTGAAACATAAAAAGTAACTGCATGACATAATACAAGCTTTTTGGTTAACATTTAAAAGCTACCAAAAATCTGTTAAGAGCTCTCACTTGGCAGTCATAGGAGACACCGTCTGGTTTTGGTGGCTTTTAATGCGTTAATTAGAAAATGTATTGCCAAAATTGAGCTTATTTTTAGATTAAAAGATTTGCTCAAGACTTTCTGAAACTGACTTGTATTGTACAAAAGACACATATATAAAAATCTAAGTTCACATATGTTATACACACATATGAATAGAGATTCCCCCCATCAATTCCAAATTATTTAACTGGTTAAGAAAAATAGGTGCATCAGTGTTATGACTGTCATGGTTGCAACATTGCAAACCTGAATATAATCAGAGTTAGAACTGGCAACAAAACAAATAAAATTAAACAGGTTTAAGTAAAGGTCAGGTCAATAGATATTTTATTAGGACTGGAAAAAGAAGGGCTGGTCACATCTTTCCAACAACTCTATAAACTTCTATCAACATGAGTCAGTAACAGAGAAAGAGAAGAGAGGTAACAAACACAAAAGAGCAACGTCCTTTGCAGAAAAGATATATAAGTTTAGTAAACATTTATTAAACAAAAATATGCCTTACCAAACTGTTATTATTAGAAATACGCAGATTCTGGCAACCCTGTTACACTTCAGTTTACCACTACTACAGAAGGGTGTAGTCTTTTCACTTCATGTTAGTCAAAACTCAAAGAATGGTGAGAGCAAACTGAGTATTTTGTGTTCAAAATATACTTTTCTTGATACAAGTTAGGTTAAACAGACACCTAAGAATCTCTGAGGATCCAGCAGTGCAACAAGAGATGCATGGACTGACACAAGCTTCCTGTGGTGGCAGTTACTGTTACTAAATTGTACCCAACCCCTTTCACATGTTTCACATTCTCTTTTCACATGTTTACACCCGTTTACTCAACTCATAGATTTCCTGCAAGAAGGCAAATGGGTAGCAGAGATTCAGAGCACATCAGAAACTTAGAGGTATCAGATTTACTGCCCTATCATTATAGAAGAAGCTCATTCCTCCCAAATAGCAGCTAACAAATTGCACACAGCAGAGATCCCAGGGTCAGTTCATACTCCATACATGCACATGAATTTAATCTCCAGAAAAACAGCAATCCATGGGTGTGCTCTGTGTTCTTTGCAAGCTGAAAATGCCTGAGCAGTTCAGAGATCCCAAGACACATGGACTTAACAACAGCTGGGAGCAACAGGGCCTCAGAAAAACATGGTTCTCAATAACCAGCCTTTTCATGGCTGCACTTATAAATCCCTAGACCACTATGAAATAGAATGGGAAAGGGCAGAGGTAGCTGAAACAATCAGTTTTAATATAGCCCTCCCAAACATGTCTGAGCTGATGAGTAGAAACATGGTACAATCTTTGACAGAATTTGTGAGTTAATTTGTACTGGCACACCAATTTTCTAAGACGTTTCTAGGACATTTTTGAAGAAAATTATATTAAGTGCTATAAGAGGATATTACTTCAAAATAACAAATAAAAAAACCCTGACATTCCATTAAAAAAATCACACACAAAACCAACAACAAAACAGGCAGGAAAAAAACAATAGTAATTCAATCTTGAACAGACACATAAGAGAAATATAAATAAATGAAAGTATATAGATAAATAAAGTATTGGCCTACTAAGCAAGAGGGCCATGACAGAGAACACCAGTAGAGTGGAAGTTCCAACTGCTGTTGCAATTTTTACACTGAATTGAATTTAAAGATAGAAAGTTGGGAGAAAGAATCTTGCTTGCTTATGGAATTCGCTATCTTTCTTTCTTGTAGTCTGGTGAGTGCAGTAAAGGAAGTATTTCCCTGAATATCTGCAGAAGCTCTCTATTACAATCTGCACATTTAATTTCAAACTGAATGTAATAGTGTGTAGGCATCTGAAAGATTAATCCCATTTCAAAATAATGGTTAAAAAACCCCAGACATTCCTCATCTTAAACTGACATTTCATAGTCAAATCTTTTGTAAGAAAAAAAGTTTTAAAAATAAATTATTTTGCTAGATAATTCTCATAACTACAGAAAAATCTTCGCTAGATCTCTATGACAACTAGGAAGTGTTTATTCGTTAGCTAAAAGTCCTAGAGGGTTTCCACCTGCCATAGCCTCATTACACACCATAAATTACCATTACACTTACATAACTAACAAAAAACTCTCTCTGATGATTTGCTGCTACACAGCATATTCTATCTATTCAATTCCTTATTACATCTCAACTCAGGCAAAGGTCATAAGAAAAAAAAACCTGTCACTTTCTGGCTCCAGTTCCAAGTTACACTGACCTGGTCCTGGCTGTCTCTGAATGGAACTAAACAGTAGCCAGCAAAGTCTGTATAAGTGAATGATGGTACTTGTCAAAAGAAATAATTTTACTGAGATCAAAAATATTTATTTCTGCCAATGTCCTCACTTCCAATAACATACATACTCATGTGAAGAGAACACATCATTTCAAGGCTAAATGCACTGGATCGACCACGTTTTTTACACTCAACTTTCTCATTCAAAGGCTTGAGTGCCAATCATTACATTGAAATGTTCAAAAAGGTACAAAAAGCTACTAGACCATAAAAAACCACAGCTTGGTAAACAAACATTCTTTAAATCATAGAGAGGAGAAAGCAAAATGGAAGAAAAACAGAATTCTGGAATTTCTTATCATTACACTTCATTGCTCCCCCCAGCCTAATAAAAATAGGAAAAAATGAAATCCTGACAGATTTCAGAACAGAACCGCAGCAAAAAAATAAAAATATCTGAACTCCCTGAAGAAAAGGAATTGAAGAAAACAGGCCACTGGTATTTTGTTTTGGCTCTGTATGCATCTTGGGAAGTAAAATTCTTTAGATTCACAGTGGTAGCTAACAGTGATGCTTAGGAGGCAATAGCGGCCATTAGGCTGAGCTGCAGGAAATGTGACAGCACTACTACAAAGCTAAGATGGGACTTAAAAAATACAAATATATGTTTTGGGTTTTTTTTTTTTAGTTAAGGGCTTCTTCAAATACTTCCTAACCCATTCTCCCTATCTTTTCAACAGATTTTTCAAATTTAACTAAACCCATCCATAGCATAAAATGGAACAAAGACAAGGCTTTATAAATAAGCGAACTTTAATCTAATGGAGATTACTCTAATATCAAAAGTTGTAGGTTGTTATGTGTAGTAGATATAATTTGCGCCATTTCTAATATGATATATGTGATATTGAATATTTGTTAGAGTATACATGTTTGTATTAGGATTCCCCCCCTCACAGGCGCAGGTGAGACTGGGTGTAGATTGGAAACTGATTTACAAGTAAGAAGGTACTCGCCAGGAGATGGGCCATGGCTGGGGAGATACAGAAACCCCAGGTGCTGATCGTTAGCGTGAACGACCCGAGATGGATATCATGGAAATCCTGAGGCAGATACATGTGAAATCCGGCATTCCCGTAAATTTCATCAAAGGATTCAACAAACTCCAGACAGTGATTTGTTCTCCCTCATCACCAAAAAAGAAAATCTTATTAACATATGGACTCTGAATAGAAGAAAGGACTGATTGCTGAAATCTTGGCCTCAGGCGGAACTTTCCCTATAAAAACTGCTTGTGCCAGGATGGAGGTGTGTGGGCATAGAGGAAAACCTCTGCTGAGGCTGACCTCTTTGTTGCACACCCAGGGCCGACCCCGGGCTCGGCTCTGTTCTTTCCGTGTGGCTGGCTAGATAAAATTTGATTGTAAAATAAATATTTTATTTTTCATATTAATTTGGCTGGACAAATTTTCATTTATAACATAGGTTTACCAAATTATCTACATACTCTTTAGTGAAGATTCCTCGAGGCCCAGTAGGTGTAACATTGCTTGGATCTAGTCCATGTGTCTCCAGAATGTTGCGAGCTGCAGGACTTAAGCGAACCCTGAAGAAATGAGGGGGAAAATTAAAATCATTTAAATAGTAATATTAACTTATCTCATTAATGTACATCATGAGAAAATACATTTCTCTCTGGTCAACTACAAAATACAGCACACGTACCCAGTGCATCTTAATATGATTAGCTTTCTGGAATGAGGAGAAAAGCCAACATTTACAGAAAATCGTTTAGAATTCTTAGATACAAAGCAACAACACTCATAAAATAATAAATACTTGGTTTCAAGTCTTTCCACAAAAATCTCTTATGCATTATTTCCCAAAGGAGACTACATTTGCACCTCATTGAATTTTAAGAATGGTCCATTAAGCCCTTGCCAAAAACACCCCATGTCATAAATGATCCTTTGGTTCTAAATATGCTGATAAATCTCTAACAGTTGCAGTGAAAACAGCACTTCTGATGTTCTTTGGTACTAAAATGAAAGACATAATCCTTTCAAAGGTCCTTTCCTGGATCATCCTCCTACTACAGGTAATGCCTGGGCAATGACCTCAGCTGTTGTTCACTTGCATGAGGAAAGTCTAAATGCTGGCAGCATTTAGAACACAGCAAACCAGATAGAAAAGGCAATGAGGTTTGGGGGGAGAAAAATAAGCACAAATAAAGAGTGATACCTCCAAACAGGATACATCCTGGGACACAAAGTGATTATGGATTATTGCTACCTAACACTCTGCAGCTGACCCCTCCTCCAAGACATTTGCAATGCTTAGAATTCCAATAGACTCAAACCAAACTAACAAATAGCACATAAACCAATTGGTTTAAGTTCTTCACACTCCACTGTTATGAAAATATTAGAATAATTCCTTTCTAATATTGAAAATGCAAGAGATCATAAGGACTTTGTAGTGGGCAATTTCTTGGTTTTTTTTTCTCTCCTCAAATAGAAAACAAGTCATAGGTACACCTAGCTTCTGATGCATAAGCACTATTGTCCATCCTGTATTAGCACAACTTCTTTCCAACTGTAAGCTTAGACTCTTTCATAATTTAATTTCAGGACAGAATATAAGTACATTTAATTCTAATAACATGTTGTTTAAATTGACTTACTGGGCTTATGAGCAAAGAAATAGTCTAGGCCTGCAAGGTTTATCACCTCACTCATACTGAAATACTCTCAAAATGACAGTCTACTATAGGTAAAAAGGGATAAAAAATATTTCTTAGTTCAGTTCTACTGATTTAATGAAGAGTTCCATTTCATAACAAACACAGAAACTTACTGCAATTTCCCAGGTTGATGTTGCAGTTTAGGAGGGGCTGAAACTGAAGGAGCTGCAGGAGCTGAGGCAGGTGCAGGTGCTGGTGGAGCCACAGAAGATGGAGCACCAGCATCAGCTGGCATTTCAACTTGCTTCCAGTCCTGGCCTTCCTCTACCAGCAGACCAATTAGTGAGCCCAAGCGAACATTTTTGCTTCCTTCTTCCACCTAAATTAAGAACATTAAGTTACAAATTACACTGTCTGCTCTAATATGACTAAAACCAGTAGATGTTGAAGTTTCAGGCATATTAATGACAATTCATCAGTAAGAGATATCCCATTTTATTGCTACTATTAATAAGATATTTCAAGACTGAAATTAATTATAATTGCTATTATAAGGAGAAGAACATTAAATTATGCCCCAAATCCCATACACCTAAAGTTAGCACTCAGAAATCAAAGTAACTTTTTATACACACAGCCTTTGCAGCTCAGAACTAGAATAGAAAAAGAAAAATTATTATAATTCTGCCCAACTTTTCATCTCCTGGATTTTTGAGTCACTGCTACATTTTCATTACTCACAATAAAAAAAAACCCCTCTGCATAAACCTAAATGAACCTTAGAATCTCAGATATAGAAAGAGCTGAAATAAAGAGAAGGACTTCAGGGTGCTGGACACAAGACAACAGTGTGGATTTGCAGCCCAAAAAGGCAAATGCAAGAGTGTGGCCAGCAGGGTGAGGCAGATCATTCTGCCCCTCTACTCCACTTTTGTGAGACCCCACCTGGAGTGCATTTTCCAGGTCTGGGTCCTCAACAAGACATGGACCTGTTCATAGTGGGTCCAGAGGAGGGCCACAAAGAAGACCAGAGGGCTGAAGCTCCTCTCCTACAATGACAGGCTGAGACAGCTGGGGTTGCTGAGCCTGGAGAAGAGAAGGCCTTAGAGAGACATTACAGCAACATTCCAGTGCTTAAGAGAGTCTTAGAAAAGGGAGGGAAAGGACCTTTTTACACTGGCAGGACAAGGGGCAATGGCTTTACAATCAAAGAGGGCAGGTTTAGAGTAGAAAGAAATGCTTTACTCAAAGGTGGTAAAGCACTGGAATAGGTTGCCTATAAGGGTTGTGGATGCCCTATTCCTGGAAGTGTCCAGGGTCAGGTTGGATGGGGCCCTGTGCAACCTGATCTAGTGACTGGCCTCCCTGGTAGGTGATGATCTTTAATGGCCCTTACAAACCAAAACATTCAATGATTCTATGCAGCCAAAAAGAGTAAAAAATATCCTAGCTTTGGTAACAAACCAACAAAGCACAGGGAGAAAAAAACTGAGATAAAGCGAACAGAGAAGTATAATTCCCTTGGGGCTTTTGCTACTGCAGCATAGTGCTTTAGCCACTAACAAATATATGCTGAAGTAAACGTTTATTTCCTCCACTGGGAAGAAAAAGGGACAGAACTTATGCTGGCTCATTCTGCAGTGGAATTTTTTTTACAATGTAGTTTCCATACCAATTCTCATTTAGGCCATGAATAAGAAGGTGGTAATGGATACTAACGTTAGGGAAACATTCCTGTCTCCCTGTCCAGGAGCCACTCTGGCAGTCACAGTCCCACCATGTGAATGGGGACCAAAGCCCCTTTAAAGTAGGAGGCTCCAGTAACCACATGGATGCCTCACCTGGCTCCCTGCTCACCCTGCCCCACATTCAGATAGGTCTTCCTTACCAGACTGACCCTGGGTTTCCCATAGCAGGATCTCAGACATCTGGATCCCTAAAGAAATTTTAATTGTGGCCCAGTAACACAAACCAGCTCGAGCTGGTGCCTCTGGGGTAGGACCACAAACAAAGGAATTCCCATGCTTTCATACCCCCAGTCTGTGCTGCCAATAATCTTGTATCTTCTTACTGAGTCCTTGGCTCCTGCTGTGTCCCAGTGTCTGGTCACCTGGCCACAGCCACAAGTCCCTGTGCGCTCTGCTGTGCAAAGGGTCAGCACCAGGTCAAGGCCCCTTTTTCTGGTGCTCCCACCACACCCCTCACTCAGGGCAAAACTTGCAGCTCCCACTGCAGCTGCACATCCAGTACCTGCTCTAAGTCTATTCCTCAACAATTAATTACAGTTCTTAAACAATCGTTCATCATCTGTTTTGTTCCAAATTGAACCATAAAGTATTTTAGGGAAAAAATAAAAAAATCAGTGTTAATTTAAGAAGCAGCTCTACTGAAAGAATAATCATCATTCTGAAATTACCCGTCTAATATTTTATTCAGCTATTTAATCTTTTACTGCATTTTACACTGAATCAGATGTGATCATTAAAAGACCTATTCAGACAGAAGAAATATATATGCATGAGCTTCTTACTGTTAGCCTGTTCTTCCTAAGCCATACGTGGATTATACAGTCAAGAAAAGCCACGAAGGGTTACAGAAGTTGAATTTAACCCAATGAACCTCCTATCTTTAAATGCAAACCCCAAAGCATTAAGCAGACTGCATGCTCATTTGACTCAAGTTTTCCATACTGAACTCTGTCAAGATGGTGCAGAATTGCAGCTGGCATCAAAAGGCACACATTTTTGTCACATTTCTTTTAGGAAGCGAGTGAAATTCAGTCAGATGCTAGCTCAGAGGCACAAAACATTTTTAAATTCCCATCAACTAACTACATCACACATGTACTTCTGAGTGGCCCTTGGAAGGACAATCTTTTCAATAAGTAATCATCACCCCATCCACAAACCTGACACAGCTCATTTTATAAGCCTTACATAAACATCTACTGAACACCTAATACAGAGCAGAAATATCCACTAGACAGTGCAGAAAGACAACCAAGGATCACACCTGAGCTAAGGAAAAAAAAATCTGAAAATTTCTGATCTTATTGCTTTCTTGTTATTTTCGTTTCTGAAACATCAGGGGTTTTCTGCACTTCTTAGGAGGCTGGAATAAAAGCCCATCTATTCTGTACTCTAACTCTTAGGCCTACCATTTCTAGATTCAAAGGATTAAAAGAATCCATTAAAAACTGGGTTTGCATAATGATCTGTTCATGTTACTCCAACAAAGCTGCCCCTTTTCCCTTATTCTGAAAGATGCTATAGATATTTTCTACCTCCTGGCATCTCCTCCTCAGGTTCAGCTCTTGGCATTGGATTGTTACTGGATGATATGGATATAACTAAGTCTGGAATGTGAATGTCACTGCTCCATGACACTGATATCATGTCGCTGCTGGAAAGTCTGCCTCTGATCTATCAAAAAATGTGCCACAAAAGCAATACACACAGAGAAATTTTGAAATTTGCAATGCATTTGAAATACAAGATAGGAAATTTTAAAACCCACAGCTTCTGAAATACTAATGTTACTTGTAGCCATCATGAATTACTATTAAAGAAACTAAGCAAATTTATATTTAATCTCTCTAGGATCAATTCTTTAATACTTTTGATAGAGAGAATCCCCGTATCTCTCCTTCACATTATCTAACAAAACAGTGTCTGCAAAAGCAGAATAGGTTGCACAAGATTTTGTCAAGGTTATCAGAAGCAAACTGATTTTCAGAAACATTCAAAACTGAAGAAGAGAGACGTAAAAATAGTGAAAGCATTGCCCAGCAATTATGTAAATAACTACATGGAGACTAAACACTGATTAAAAAATACGCCTGATGTGAGACTTCATCCTGGCATGGCAGAATAGATCCTCTGAAGCCTATTAAACGTGTTGTTTTACAGTCGAATGC